GCCGCCTTCAGGGGCTTGGAGGTGCCCTTTTTAGCGGACTTGTGATCCTTACTTGCCTTAGCCTTCTTTTTGACTGGCGTGGAAGTGGACGATTGTGCCTTCGATGTCGGTAGCTTCGGTGTCGGGACGGTTGACATCGGAGGCAGGCCTCAATGCCGGAGCTGTCGATGTAGACGGTCTCTCCTCCATTGCTGAGGCAGGAGTAAGGGCCGATTCAACCAGCGCTACTTTAAGGCACGCAGCTCGGTTCTTTCGTGTTTGATTGGAGAAACGAGCACAGTGACGACAGGACTCTGGCTGGTGAGACTCTCCGAGGCAAAAAATGCAGAGGGTATGACAGTCGGGAGGAGCAAGTTTGCTGCCGCAACCCTTGCACCTGTTGAAAAACCTCACTTCTCCATAAAAGATGCAAAGAAGAGGGAACGTTGGGGGGGGGGTAGCCCGAAGGCCTGAAGTAATCGGTAGACTCCCCCTCAAGAGAAAATAAAAAGTTTTTTTTAAGCTTTTTTTTAAGAACAAACAACTAAAAAAGAAAAGTAGAGTAAGGAAATAATTCCTAAGAGCTGTGAGGCGAAAGCTAACAGTGAACCGATCTGACCGACGAAAAGAGGTCTACTCAACACGGTGGTAAGAAAGGAACTGGTGGGATGTCTGCACCCACCCCTCTGGGCATGTGCGGTGGGGTTCCCGCACATGCCCGAGGGACTGGGTGCAAAAATCCATTAAAAGAGCTTGCTACAGCACTGATCGAACCAGCGTGTGCGCACTAGATCCTATGGGTGTGAAGCACAGCTCCCTTTTAAATTGTTCGGGCTGGTGTAACCACACCCCTAGTCCAGTTAAGGACCAATTACAACACAGGGATATAAACCAATCAGGTCTGTTTCCTCTAGAACATCTCTCTTCTTCCTGATTGGATGATTCTACACAACAGCCAATAGAATTGTTGCAGCTTACAATCCTGGACATGGTTTCAAGCTTAACATGTGTTTTAATACAGATCAAAACATAACACATAATGGTATGCAATTGGCCCGAGAGCCTTGACATTGACATTACCCTTCATACTGTGGCTCTCTGGAAATGAATTTTTTCAACCCAAGCAGGCATGAGCTAAATCCATTACATGCTGGTCCCTGATGTAGGCATCAATCCCAAACATGCAGTCCTCAGAGAACACATAATCCAGCTGTTGTTTGTTAACTTGGAAGAGACAGACAGGGGTCACTTAGAAATGCAGGCTCAGTTGCCCCATAACAGTCACTACAAGAATTGTACAGTCGGTGTGGAATGTGGCATACACAGGATACACTTCTCCCACTTTCTTCAAGTAGCTTGTCTGTTGCATTTGCCACCGTGAGAACATCCTCTGTTGAATCAGGTTTTTTAAAAACAGATTCAAATGGCTTTTGAATCTCAGGTCTAGCAGCAACTCAGCTTTGCAGCTTTGTCCTGGCAGTGGTACATGCTTGAGTGACATAAGAATCCATTGAAGATTCAGAATATTTTGCCAAAATGAGAACCTGACAAAACAGGGAAAAGACCTCTACTGAAAGGCAGACTTGGAGAATAGCTCCGACTCTTGCATTTATTTTATCTCTCCCTTATTATAATTGAATAGCAACGTTCTATATTGCAACGTTCTAAATTTGGCCCCTTTAGTGTTAGGCCGGAAGAACTGCCACTCAGAAGACACTGGCTGGGTTGACTGGCTGCTTTGTGCAGTCCCGCCCAGCGTTCCAAGGTAATTTGCATATGGAAGCTGATTGGACTTCACTCCATTCCACACCTCAAACTCCCCCCCCCCAGCAAGGCAGTTGGAATTTTCAGTTGCATAACATACCTCATAGGGGACAGGAAAATGATGTCAGCTGCTTTGGTTACCACTGCAGGGAAAGGCTGCCCTTTCCCTAGGCAGAGGCTGGGGGTGGGGGTTGTAAAACGTAAGACAGACAGGCAGATAAAGGTTGGCTGATGATTGCCAGGAAAGGACATAGGGTTGCCAACTCCAGGTTGGAAACTTCCAGGATATTTTAGGGATGAAGCCTGCTGAGGGTGGGGTCTGAGGAGGAGGAGGAAGAGGGGGACCTCAGACAGATACAATGCCATACTGCCCACACTCCAGACAAGCTGTTGCCAGTCTCCAGGTGACAGCTGGAGAGATCTTAAAGCTTTGGTGCTAATCCAAAGTGTTGCAATTTATTGACAGAGTAGTGTTCTGGAAAATCTTTAGGAATTGTTTGGTGCATTTACGATGGGGCTCCTGGGGAACTATTGTTGCCAATCTTGGCCCAGCAGCCATCAAACCATTCTCTTCAACCCCCTGCTGTGCAGCTGACTTTCCCCTAGGGTTGCCAATCTCCAGGTGGGACCTGGAGATCTCCCACTGCTACAATTGATCTCCAGATGACAGAGATCAGTTCCCCTGGAGAAAATGGATGCTTTGGAGGGTAGACCCTATGACATTACACCTGCTGAGTCCTTCCGCCCCCCCCCGCCCAATGCTGCCCTCTACAGAATCCACCCCCCAAACCTCCAGGTATTTCCCTCCTTAGAGCTGGCAACCCTACATTCCCCTCAGTGCCTGTTGGTAGGCAACTAAGCTTGGTCCTGTCACCTACTTTGGCCTTTGGGAGAAAACACATTGGGGCCAGTCCTGATAGGGTTGCCAACTCCAGATGGGAAATTCCTGGAGATTTGAGGGATGGAGCCTGAAGAGGGTGAGGTTTGAGGAGGGGTGGGACCTCAGACAGGTACACTGCCATAGACTCCACCGTCCAAACCAGTCAGTCCCACATAGGGAACCATTGTTGCCAATCTCCAGGTGAGGGCTGGAGAGCACTCAGAATTACAACTGCTCTGCAGAAGGGAGGGCAGAAGTCAGCTGAAGTCAAAGCGGCAGATAATGGTAGGTTGATGGTTAGCTGGGAAGGAGATGGGGTTGCCAACTACATGCTGACAAATTCCTGGGGATTTGAGGGGTGGAGCCTGGAGAGGGTGGGGTTTGCAGAGGGGTGGGACCTCAGACAGGTAGAATGCCATAGACTACACCCTCCAAACCAGCCATTTTGTCCTGGGTAACAATTGCTGCCAATCTCCAGGTGAGGGCTACAGATCACTCACAACTGCTCTTCAGGTAGCAGAGATCAGTTCCTCTGGAGAAAACAGTGGACTCTGTCATTATACCCTGCTGAGGTCACCACAGCAAATTGACACTGTTTGCCCAAAGCCAGAGCACTGCCCCAGAGCCTCCTTCTAGATCCCATTGTATTGCTTTCACAACGGGCTTTACTGCTAGTATGTGTATATTCCACTTTTCAGCCAGGATGGTTCCAAAACCATAACAGAGAAGAACCACTATCTGGGTCTAAACAGACATGGCTAGGAAAAAGCGGGGGGGGGGTCTAGGAGAACATGCATGGTTAGGAGAAATGTTTGCTGCTTGTTCGTATAACCTTATCCCCCCCTCTTGCCACAGCCTGCTTGGCCAATCCACTTTTCCCCTGTATTTTTAATTGTGGCCAACCACTGAGAAGCAGGGTTCCTTTCCCCCCACAATGAAAGATCTTCCCGCAAACATTGCAGCATTGGTTGGGGCCTTCAGAGGTAAATGGGAGAGAGGAAGCAACCTATATAATTAAGCCCTTGCTCTCATTCCCATCTTGCAGTTGACAATGACTTCTAATACCTGTATTACGGGTGGTTTTCCAATCCTGGTCCGGGGAATATCTGCCCAGTAAGGGTTTCCTTCTCTCTTGGAGGAGCATCCCAGTGAAAATAAATCAAGCAGTACACATGACCCAGTTTAGGAAAGATCCAAGAACCGTTAAGAGAGCCAGTTTGGTGTAGTGGTTAAGAGCGGTGGACTCTAATATGGAGAACCAGGTTTGATTCCCCACTCCTCTACATGAAGCCAGCTGGGTGACCTTGGGTCAGTCACAGTTCTCCCAGAGCTCTCTCAGCCCCACCTACCTCACAGGATGTCTATTGTGGTGAGAGGAAGGGAACGAGATTGTAAACTGTTCTGAGATGCCAAATTAAGGGCGGGGTATAAATCCAACTCTTCTTCTTCTTCTTAAGGCCTGCTGAGACACAATAGTGACTTACTCAGGTTAACCTCAACCATTTAGTTGGGTTCCAAGTTGCCACTGTGTCAAATTGGCAGCATCATGGGTATTAATCGAGAGAGTATGGCTTGGTGGTAGAGCATTTGCTTGAAGGGAAAGGAGTTTGTAAGCCACTCTGGGACTCCGAGTGAAAGGGGGGGGGGGAATAAATCCAATCTCTTCTTCTTCTTCAATTCCCCAGCATCTCCAGTTAAAAGGCTCAGGCAGTAGTTGATGGGAAAAACTACTGCTTGACACCCTGGATAGCTGTTGCCAGTCTGAGCACACAACACTGGCCTGATTCTGTATATGGCAGCTTCATGTGTGTATTCATGCAAAATGGTAAAATTCTGTCTCTCTCTTGTTAAACCAGTTGTTTCAAGTTTTCACACTATGTTTCAGGGGCCTTTTGGGGGTCCTCGAACCTTGGCGGGGGTAGGTCCACAGTGAAAAGATCAGTAAAGGCTGCTTTGCCAAATGCTAACTATTGATCTAATCCTGCAATGCTCAGGCAAGCAGTGGGTGGGTCGAAGGGTGCGTTCTCGCTTCACACAGAGAGGCCTGGTTAGCCACCAGCATGAAATGAACGTGTGCCTTAGAAGCCATCCCAGAATCCTCTGCAACACACAGGACTCTGTAGCAAGATCTGCAGGAGCTTTTTGTGGCAGAGGAGGGCATAGGGGACAGGGCTGCCTGAAGGGAGAAAGATTTTAAAAAAACCCACAGACATAACAAGGAAGAAGCTGCAGCCCATAATAATAATTTTAAAAGTTGTAAAGACTTAGGTTTAATAAAACACAAGCCACAGACAACTCACAATAAGGAAAACCCGTGCAGAATCTGTAACATCCAAGGTGACTTTTCTTGAAACATCCGGCACAGAAAATAATTCACCTGAGAAAACTGAGAAGCGGAGGCCATTATTTGTTTCTGCCAAGGGTTCTTTGCTTCTCACCATGCTCCACAATTTTCTCGTCTACATAAAGCCCCTTCCGCTTTCTCACAGCATTCATATACTTGCGGGCCTGGTTCTCAGAGTCTGCCTTTTCCCCAAAATGCAAATACTCCTCCTCTGTGGTTGGTACCCAAAACGGATCATCCGAAATGACCTAGGAATAGAGAGATTGTAGAAAGAATGGCATTAATGGAAGGCAGTGGGGGGGGGGGAGACACAGACTGGAGAATTACAGATAAATTTTCTGCATTTCGAGATTGTTGGCTAAAAGCAGACTACAGAACAAACAAGAAAGCTGTTTTCCAAAAATAAGGGACCAATGAGAAAATTAGCTAGTTGAGTAAGAAAAGAATGTGCAAGAATTTCTGCTTGAATAAATTAACAATTATTGAAATGCATTACCCCCCCCCCCTTTTCCCAAGAACGGCCAAACCAGGCTTCTCAAGGGACCCCCTTCTCCAAGGTGCACAGAAGCTTAGCAGCCCAGACTGCATGAGCCAAGCCACAGACCTTGGGCGATTTCTCACTAGAGCTGCCTTGCAGCGCAGCCGCCGTTTGCCTCGACACAAACATGTAAATTTCACACCCGAGGCTGCGGGGCTGCATTTGACACGTGGCTTCGCCCGATTTCCTTCGCAGTTTCGTGATCCTCAAAAACCAGGATCACGAAACTGCGGAGGAAATCGGGCGAAGCTGCGAGTCAAAATGCAGCCCCGCAGCTTTGGGTGTGAAATTTACATGTTTGTGTCGAGGCAAACGGCGGCTGCACTGTGAGGCAGCTCTAGTGAGAAATTGCCCCTTGTGTGCCTTCAGTTGTTGTCCTCTTACAGGACTCTTAGGCTGCAAAGGGAGAAAAACTTGCTGGCTCTAACCCTGCATTGTATGATGGGGTTGTCTTTGGTGAGACAAAGAGAACAACTGGACTAGGTGGAGATAAGGAAGCAGCGGGGGGGGGGCTGCCACGTGCCTGGATTAGCCAGCCTAATGGCATGAGTGTGTTTTCCAGAGAAGTCAACACATTTGCCCTTCAAGTGTAGCTGGCACATTCTCATAAAATGTCTTAGTCTGTAGCCCTGCACCTTCCCATATCCTCACACAGGGTAATCTCAGCCTCTTCTCAGAACGACCTTGCGACCTGCCCGCAGTGATCCCTGCAACTATGAATTGAAATCTCTCTAGCCTCAGCCTAGGACTTTCTCCACTGACTCTACCAGGCTGGCTCCCAGAGCATTTGGGGGAAAGCCAACAGGAGATTTGGGGGAAAGCTGAAAGGAGATAAAAAGTCTCTGGTTCGGGTTGGCTCATCTCAGAGAGATGAGGGGGTACCTGTTGCTTTTCTACAGGGAGGTGGATTGAAATTGTCCACTGAGACCATGGCTAGTCACATAGACGGTCTGACAAGGTCTCGAGATAGCAAGAGGAAGGTTGCAGGCTTAACTAGTATGGGAAATTACAGCTGTTTCTATACAAATGCTAGAAGTGTCCTAGGTAAAATTGGGGAGTTGGAGTGCTTGGTGTCGGAGGGAAAAATAGACATTGTGGGTGTTTCAGAAACTTGGTGGGATGAGGAAAATCAGTGGGATACGGTGATTCCCGGTTATATATTATATCGGAAGGATAGGGGGGGAAGGGTTGGAGGTGGGGTGGCTCTGTATGTCAGAGAGGGTATAAAGTCCAGAAAGATCGAGAGGCTAAGAGAATTGGATTCGCTTCTTGAAGGTCTGTGTGTTGAAATAGGGGGGCCAAAAGGAAACTTAACACTGGGAGTTTGTTATCGCCCACCAGATCAAAAGATAGAGGAGGATTATAAAATGATGAATGCCTTAAAGATAGCAACTAGACAAAAACACTGTGTCGTAATAGGTGATTTTAACTACCCACACATTGATTGGGTCAATATGTGTTCTAGTCGAGAGAAAGAGATTGAGTTTCTAGACACTCTAAATGACTGTGCTATGGAGCAGATGGTCACGGAACCTACCAGGGGAGAGGCGATCCTTGATTTGGTCCTAAGTAACACTCAAGACCTGGTGAGAGATGTAAAAGTGATTGCACCGCTTGGGAACAGTGATCATAATGTTGTTGAGTTCAACATTTGTACAAATAGGGAATTGGCCAAAAAGACTCACACAACCACTTTTAACTTTAAAAGGGGTAATTTTTCTGATATGAGGGGACATGTGGGGAGGAAACTGAAGGGAAAAGTAGAAAGGGTCAAAACCATTGGGGAAGCTTGGAAACTGTTTAAAACTACAATTCTAGAAGCTCAAATAAAATATATTCCGCAGGTTAGGAAAGGCACAAACAGGTATAAGAAAAAGCCTACATGGTTAACAAACAAAGTAATGGAAGCTGTAAAAGGTAAAAAGGATTCCTTTAAGCGGTGGAAAGCTAGTCACAGTGAGGCTGATAAAACAGAACACAGGCTATGGCAAATAAAATGCAAGTCTGAGGTCAGGCAGGCAAAAAGGGAATATGAGGAGCATATAGCAAAAAACGTAAAAACCAACAATAAAACTTTCTTCAAATACATTAGAAACAGGAAACCAGCCAGGGAGGCAGTGGGGCCCTTGGATGACCAAGGGGTAAAAGGAGTACTGAAGGATGATAGGGAAATGGCTGAGAAGCTAAATGCATTTTTTGCCTCCGTCTTCACTGTGGAAGATGAGAGGTGCTTGCCCACTCCAGAGCCGCTGAGTTCGGGAGGGGTGTTGAAAGACCTGAGTCAGATTGAGGTGACGAGAGAGGAGGTCCTAAAACTGATAAACAACTTAAAAACTGATAAATCACCAGGCCCAGATGGCATACATCCAAGAGTTCTGAAAGAACTCAATTGTGAACTTGTGGATCTCCTGACAAAAATATGTAATCTCTCCTTAAAATCAGCCTCCATTCCTGAGGACTGGAAGGTAGCTAATGTCACTCCCATCTTTAAAAAGGGTTCCAGAGGAGATCCGGGAAATTACAGGCCTGTCAGTCTGACGTCGATACCGGGTAAATTGGTGGAAACCATTATTAAGGAAAGAATTAGTAGGCACATAGATGAACAAAACCTATTGAGGCAGACTCAACATGGGTTCTGTAAGGGAAGATCTTGTCTCACTAACCTGTTAATGTTCTTTGAGGGGGTGAACAAACATGTGGACAAGGGGGATCCAATAGATATTGTTTACCTTGACTTCCAGAAAGCTTTTGATAAAGTTCCTCATCAAAGGCTCCTAAGTAAGCTCAAAAATCATGGGATAGAAGGACAAGTCCTTTTATGGATCAAAAACTGGCTAATTAATAGAAAACAGAGAGTGAGTATAAATGGGCAGTTCTCCCAGTGGAGGGGTGTAAGCAGTGGGGTACCACAGGGATCAGTACTTGGTCCACTGCTTTTTAACTTGTTCATTAATGATTTGGAGTTGGGAGTAAGCAGTGAAGTGGCTAAATTTGCGGATGATACGAAGTTGTTCAGGGTGGTGAAAACCAGTGAGGATTGTGAGGCACTCCAAAGGGATCTGTCAAAGTTGGGCGAGTGGGCGTCAACATGGCAAATGGGGTTCAATGTGGCCAAGTGCAAGGTGATGCACATTGGAGCCAAAAATCCTAACTATAAATACACGTTGATGGGGTCTGAACTGGCAGAGACAGATCAAGAGAGAGATCTTGGAGTTGTAGTAGATAACTCACTGAAAATGTCGAGACAGTGTGTGACTGCAATAAAGAAGGCCAATGCTATGCTGGGGATTATTAGGAAGGGTATTGTAAACAGATCAGCCAATATCATAATGCCGCTATATAAATCAATGGTGCGACCTCATCTGGAATACTGTGTGCAATTCTGGTCACCACACCTTAAAAAGGATATTATAGCTTTGGAAAAAGTGCAGAAAAGAGCAACTCGAATGATAAAAGGGTTGGAACACTTTCCCTATGAGGAACGGTTAAGGCGCTTAGGGCTCTTTAGCTTGGAGAAACGACGACTGAGGGGTGACATGATTGAGGTTTATAAGATTATGCATGGGAAAGAGCAGGTAGAGAAAGAGGTACTTTTCTCCCTTTCTCACAATGGGCAAGTGATACTCTGTCATCTTGGTGCTTGGGGGGGGGGTCAACAGTGGGAGGGCTTCTAATGTCCTGGCCCCACTGGTGGACCTCCTGATGGCACTGGTATTTCTGGCCACTGTGTGATACAGAGTGTTGGACTGGATGGGTCTTTGGCCTGATCCAACATTGGCATCTCTTATGTTCTTATGTTCTTATTCTTTTGCTATAAAGTGGCATGAACCTCTCACTTGGGCCTGCAAAACAGCTCCGAGTTTATCACTACTAAAATCAACAAGGCGCTCAGGATGAAACAATTCCATTTTTATCCTTTGTAGCAAGGAACATGATTCAGAAATCTTGTTGAAGCTAAGCAGGTCTAGGTTTGATCAGCGGTTGGACTAGATGGCCTGTATGGCCCCTTTAGACTCCGTGATTGTATGATTGTATTATAACTGGAGATGTTGGGGATTGAACCTGAGACCCTCTACATGCAAAGCAGAAGCTCTTTAACTGAGACACAGCTCCTCCCCTATACTGCTATGAGCTCCATGGGGAAAAGTTAGGATATTTATGGTAATAAATAAACTGGGGGGGGGGGGTCAGAGATGAATGGGGTACTAATTCCACAGCCTAAGTCCAACTCTACCTTCTACGTTAATGGTTTTCAACCTTTTGAAAACTAGAACCCAACTTTAAAACCCAGGTAGCCACATGGGACCCACAAAGTTGCATGCATGTGACACCACAGTCACGTCACAGAGTCATATTATAAGAATGGATTTAACCATTATAACCTCACCAGTGCCAAGGCCAGGACTGTAACCAAATGAGCCAGGGACAGAACACAAACTCGAGCACCAGGAGATGGGCCCTAATGAGGAGCAAGATGAGGGTTACAGCCATGGAAGAATCTTTTCCATTATGGAGTGACCGCAAAGGAAATCCTGTGCCCTTACTCTGTACACCACGTCCTTTCAAAAAGGAGCAAAAAGAAAATGCCACCTCTCTAGGGGCTTTCAACCTAACAACTGGGACTTCACAAATCACCTAATGGTCCCATTCACAGGCTGAAGATCACCACTTTACACAGACTAACATGGCTAACCACTAGATTCTACTCTA